TATCCACCTCAGAAGGATGGAAGGCTGAGTCAACCCTGAGCCAGTGAGATTTGAACCGCCGAACTGCAGATAACAGTCAGCTGAAGTGGCTGCAGTACAGCACTCTAACCACTGTGCCACCTGGCTCATAGAGAGAAATAGAGAGAATGTGAAGTTAAGTGCCTACTTGAAGCATTGTTTGTGGTGTTTGGGCACACTAAATGTAGATGCACTAATATGTTAAACACCTTTACATATGCATGCATGCTAGCCACATGTGATTCCACATGATTAATATTCTGTTTGAAATGGATTGCTATTTCTGGTTCCTTTCACACGTGCAAACATGTATATGAGACTATAAATGTGCTACAGATCCTATATTTCTCAATTATAGCTAACAGTGCTCAATGCAGGCCGTCGATACTTGGGAGTGGAGAATCTGTCTGGCAAAGTCTTTGTCACATCGGGCCTTGGAGGGATGAGTGGTGCCCAAGCAAAAGCTGCAGTCATTGCTGGATGTGTGGGAGTTATTGCTGAGGTAACCTCTGTATTTAGTTGTACCCTTCTGCTTTCATTCAAGTTGTCCTGCTCTTCACTTTATATCCATTTCATTCTTTCTGTGTTTAAAAACTGGCATCATATGTCATCACTGTCCCTTCAGCAGACCCAAGAAGGTTCCATACTCGTTTGATTCAGGTGATCCTCAGAGTACAGGTAGTCCTTGACTTACAACCACAATGGAGCCCCAAATTTTTGTCGTGAAGTGAAACATTTGTTCGGTGAATTTTGTCCCCCTTTATGAATTTTTGTGCCACAATTGTTAAGCGAACCACTGCAGTTAGTAACGTGGTTGTTGAGTGAATCTGGCTTCCCCATTGGCTTTGCTTGTAAGAAGATCGCAGAAGTGATCACATGACCCCGGGATGCTGCAACCGTCATGAATATGAGTCAGTTGCCAAGCATCCAACTTTTTGATCACGTAACTACAGGAATATAGGAATGGTTGTAAGTGTGGGGAAATGGTCATAAGTCACTTTTTTCAGTGCCGTTGTAACTTTGAACTGTCACTCAATAAACCGTTGTAAGTCAAGGACTACCTGTACAGGTAAACTTCCAAGTGGCCTCAATGACTCTCAGAGAGAGAGCTGATCTTAAGTGTGCTAACGATCAGATGACTGCTAAGAATATAAATCCAGGGATGAAATGCTATCACTTCTGACCGGTTTGCTAGAACTTGTAGCAAAAAATGCTAAGGTTTGCTAGAACCGGTAGCAAAAAAATGCTTTAAAAAGTGGGGGGGAAAAGGTTCCATGACACTCAATTGCGCCGTACGATCGTTGGAACCTCCCCCCCCCCTTTTAAAGCATTTTTTTTACTGCCAGTTCCTGCGAATAGGTAGGGAAAAAACGATTTAAAAAGTGAAAAACAGTTGCCCATGCCGCTGGCCAGATGGTCCTTGGATCTCTGCTGCGCATGCATGTGTGCACATCTGCGCATGTCTGCACATATGTCAGCACATGTGTGAATTCGTGTCCACGCATGCGCACACGTTCGTGCATACCTTTCAGTTTGGGCATGCGTGTACGTGCACAATTTGGACACTTCATGTCTAAAAGGTTCGTCATCACTGTTATATAGACTTTTCTAATAATTGTTGAAATCTTAATGTTTAAAATGGAGATATTTCACTGCTTGAGAATGGGTAAGTAAAATGAATGATTATAGGCAAAACCCAAACCTTTATGTTTCTCTAATTTATTTCTCAATTTTCTCANAGTGCTTTTACAGCCCTCTCTAAATGGTTTACAGAGTCAGCATATTGGCCCCAACAATATGGGTCCTCATTTTACCCACCTCGGAAGGATGGAAGGCTGAGTCAACCTTGAACCTGGTGAGATTCGAACTGCCAAATTGCAAGCAGCCTGCAGTCAGCAGAAATGGCCTGCAATACTGCATTCTACCCATTGTGCCACCGCGGCTCTTATATATACATATATAGCTGCATATTTGTTTTTACCATTGCTGTTATTTGCTCTCATAATATCATTCATACATGTTTGAGAAAATAGCATCTTTTTTTTTACAGGTATGGACAGATGACAGCTGGAAGCTATTGTTACATCGGACCACAAGGGATAGTCCATGGAACTGTGGTAAGAACTGGGCCAATGTAGAAGAATACTTTTTGAAACAATTCACTGTTGCCGTTGTTTTTTGTTACAATATATTTACACTAGACAGCCAGTTTGATGTAATGATTAATGTGCCGGGTTAGGTACCAGGAGACTGTGAGTTCTAGTCCCACCTTGAGCACAAAACCAGCTGGGTAACCTTAGGCCAGTCATACTCTCTCAGCCCTAATAAAGAAGTAATGATGAACCATTTCTAAAGTTTCACCAAAAAAACCTGCACATTTTTGTCTAGATAGTCACCAGGCATCAACACTGACTCAAAGACACAATATATCGATGTATGTTTATGCATATTTATTTATTTATTTATTTGGGCTGGCTTTATTGCTTTGTTGAACACAGGGCTTAAGCCTCCATTTTATAATGCTTGAGAGATTTTATTGTAATAAACATAAATCAGTAATTCCCCAAACACTGTGCCATAGAAGAAAAACTATTGTACCCCTAAATAAATTAGATAAAGGAACACAAGCTGGTGTTTTTTAGATATTTGGGGGGGTAACACTCTTATAGTTCCTATTGACATAGCATGCTGGCTCAGGCCGATTAGAGTTATTCATTAAAATATCTTGAATTAAATTGAATCCCTTGAATTAAATCATAAAGATTAATGTAAACCCATTGGCGTCCTCATACAGATGAAGAGAGACAAATGACAAAACATATATAGTACTGTGATATGCATATATACAAGGGCTGGAGTTTGCTTTATAATGTTACAATGCACTTTTTTTTCATTCTGATGAGAACCTTCGGATTCAGTGGATAATTTCAGATTCAATAAATGCCTCTTCATCTATTCAGAGGATATCCTGAAATGAATAATGTGTTTAATAATGTCTCCTTTCCTGTTCCATTAAAGAGATTTTCAATTCTCTGTCATGTCTCTAGTACAGATATTATATATTTTTGTATCTTTTTCACACTAGTGATTTTACTGAGTTTCCATAGCATCACCCAGCTACTATTATAGTGATTAAAATGTTGATCTTATTGCTGTTATTATTCTGGTATGTAGAATAAGATATCAGTCGCTAGCAGTGAAAAAAAACCAATGTCTAGATATAGCAAAATTACTCTTTAGGATGTGTATGTCAAATCAGGCTCCCAAATGAACTACAGATAAAAGTCAACTGTGACTCCACTACTAATTCAGAAGAGGAAAAAATTACCTTATCTAGAAACTGGGAAAATACTGTTATGAAACATTGCTTTCTCCAAGTTCAGTTTATTTATTCAAGTTTATCATATCTTTTCTGATTGAAAGAGTTTTAGATAGAGTTTTCTATTAATTGCTAAAGGGGATTATTTTAACTGGAAATGCCAATTTCAAAAACTGGTGTCAGGGTTCCAAGTAACACCCCCAACAACAACAAAAAAACAAACAAACATCCGAGGCTTGAGTTTCCTCAAAGTTCCATTTTATTAGAGATGTCATATTGGCACATCTGGGAAAACCCGAACCTGAAAGCTTCCAGTTTCCCCCACCCAAGTGAAACTTCAAGTCCCTGCCCAGCACCCACATGTCCATCACATGGCCCAATCAGGAACCGTCCCAACTGGAGATGCCTCCCAGTCATAACCCTCCAGGTGCAGGGCAAGATGTCCTTGACTCTCTGACGAAGGAATGTTATTTAGACATTAGATGTTTATTTATATCAGTATATCTCCCATACTCCATATAATCCCTCTCCCACTTTCCTACAGAAGAAAAATGTGGCAGGCCTGAAGGCCCAATGTAAAAGATGGCTTTCAGGCCTGACAACCGGAACTTCACCTGGCAAAGCATCCTAGGTTGTAGCCTATCTATGTTAAACACTGATATAGAGAGATGCCTGTATTTAGAAAATTAATTTCTGTAGGCACTGGAGTTTTGGTGCACTTATGGAGATTTTTTGCCAGTAAGAGCTTAGAAATCCATTTTCTTTATCTGAGCCATTTGTGTCCTGATTATTCCCCAAGCAGTGCTTGAAAAATCATGAAGCGGTTTCCCCAATGAAAATTTTCCCGGTCTATTTGCGTCACACACAAAAAGATACCTGGCACTTCTGAGTTTGG